CCGGGCCCGGTGCCGGCCTTCGCGGCCCGGTGCCGCCCGTGCGAGCGGGAGGGTCCCCCAGGAGCTTCTCGGGGCTCCTTCTTCTTCAGCCTCTCGGTTCAGGCTCTGGTGCGTGGCCCCTGTGGTGTCAATAGTCACGTCTCATAAGCCTCACGAACACTCACATAAAAGAACGGGTTTGGGGTTTGATTATTGATTTATTTATTTATAGCAGCAGGTTTGAAGTTTTATAGGTAAGTGCTTCGTTTTTACAGCTTGCCATAAAGAGCCCAAATCCATGGGAAGCTGTATTAACTGAATCAGCAGCTTCTCCCATGCTGGGAAGGTTTTCCATGTTGAGATGTTTCTGTGCCAGGTACTCCTGAGAAGGATAGACCTCAAGAGGTGAAGCAGACTGTGGCTGGTAGGGAGAACATCGTTATATCCTGCTTTTACGCTGTCTCTTGCAATACAAAAACCATGGGGATAGCAAACATTACATACAGAACCTAAGCCCCAGACAAAACCAGATGATTCATCGGTCAGTATATATACAGAAAAAAATGTATATAACCTCTCAGGAGCTGTGTATATCCGCATCTATGTATCTGTCTCCACAGGTAGTGTGGAATTGCTTGTAGAATTCCTTGCTGAAAGCTGTAGAGGCAAAAGAATTTTAGGGAGACACTGGAGAAGAGACGTTAAGGTTTGCCAATAGGCAAACCACACCAGGTCAAAGAAATCCCCCAAGCCAGAAATGACTGGAGGCAGAGAGCACTTGGTAGAGATGTGTGCCGTGCACACACGTGTTTTCCTGTGACGTCTGTTTATCCCCACTTTGGATGGCAGTAAACTAACTGAATCTTTGATCTGAACTACTGTGGTTATTATCTTACATGCTTCCTAAAGTTTCCTAGATAGCCAGTAAGGGGGAGCACCTCACTGGGAATCTCTCTCTGTATTTATTTTTTTAAAGCTGAGCGTTCTATCCCACTACTTAATTTCAACCAAATAAATTAGTCTGTTCAAAAGTTCTGGGAAGACATCTTGACAAAAAAAATTGAAGGAGCTAATGGGTAGGTTGGGTTTTTTTTCTTTGATTTTAACAGTTTGATTCTTCAGTTGCTACAATTTTAGGAGGAATTTCCATGTTATGTTTGCCTTAATACCCCTTAGCTCCACCGGTCTTCTCCATTTAGTAAAGAATAACTTCTCACATAACACACTTTATCAAGGATAAAGTTCTGGGCAAAAGCTCAGTGTACTTTTGCCAGGACTCTTGACTTCAGGTTTTCCTAGGCAGTACAGAAGCTTTTTTCCCAAGTAAGTGGTCTTTTTGGGTTGATCTTCCAGTTATCTTGTGCCTTTGGTTTAAGACAAGCACATACCCTGAACTTTCAGTTCAAAAACAACCAACCACTGATTCTAAACATGGTGCAGTTAAGTGAGTCCTTTTTTTATTGTTGAGTTGCTTAACTGTGTTTATTCTAAGCTTTTTTTTTTTCTTTTTTTTAATTTTAGAATTATCCAGGATGTTTTCACTAACAGAAAAGGACAGGCCAATTGTTCAGCTGTTACTGAACACTGGCACTTGCCCACGATGTGTTTTGAGGTTCCGCTGCGTGGGATCACAGACAATTTATAGACGTCCATACAGGGTTTGTTCTTTGCATTCCTAATTAGGATGTGTGAACATAGGAGTGTGGTCTTCTTGGCGTTACCTTGCAGGAGAAGGATGTTGTATTCTTGGGCTCCTTGCCTGAGATGAGAATGCTTTGCAAAATGAATTATGAAAAGTGACTTCTGCTACACTGTGCAGTTTTGAGAAGTTACAAGAATCATAGAATGTAACAATTCTTTTTTGTGTTAAATGATGTGAAGTTTGACTGTGAAAGTAACTATGTATTTGTGAAAGCACCAGAAAACAGGGCGTGTTAGCTTCTGCAGAACATGGTGCTCACACTTTTGAAGCAGAGCAACCATGATGGTTCCCTCCATTCTTTTTACTTTAATAAGTAGTAAAGGAACTGGGCAGTGCAGCTGATGCAGAGGAGGAACTCCAAACTTTTTTTGCCTCTAATTCCTTCTTCTTTCAGTAGAATTGGTTAGGGGGATGTAACTGAAGAATTGCAGAGAGCAGGGTAAGGAAAAATGTGTCAATCAGACAGTGTTACTAGGCATCCTTTTTAGCTGACCTTAGTGCTGAAATTCAGTGTTCTTCACATTTTTCCTAGCTGTGCACAATAATTCTTGCCTTTCTTGTATTTGATACTTCTCAACTTGGTTTTGGCTATTTTATTCTCTTCTATGTTGGTTCTTTGAGACCTCTCTCATTGTGTAGGCCAAAGAAACATGTCCATTTACCTGGTCTAATGCCTTGCATCTTCTGGTGTCTGGCTCGATTGTTTCACCTTTGTTCAAGTTTAGACTCTCCAGAATTCATTTTTTAACATCTTTCTTCCTTATCCTTTTACGTTTTTTCTCAGTCATTTGAGAAGTCTTCATTCTGTATGCCATGTTTTATTCTTTTGCATCTCTACGTGATTTTCCTCTGAGTTGCAACAACACAGTGACTGCTGTCCTTGGTATCAAAGACCTTTTAATAAGTCTTTCTTTCTGAACTGTCTTGCCTCTATCTCTCATCCTTCCTAAAATTCACAGATATGCAGTTAATTCTTCTCTCTCCTTACCAGCACATCCTTTAATTTATGTAGGCTTCTCTCTTTATATGAGTATGTATTTAATATCACCCTCTATGTATCTAATGTCACCCTCACATGTGTCTCCTCTCATTTTGTTCTCATACTATGCTAGCCAACTCTCTCCCTAGCCATCTAGACTAATGGAGTTGTAGGAATTAAATTCTAACATAATCTAAATGCCAAAAAGGCAATAAACATCTGTTTTCATTGAATAGTGATGGGACCAAAGATAAATGTGTTTCTGCAAGTCAGTCCTGTAAAATGTTTTCATTCTTCTTGGCTGATAAATAAATCTGCTCAGCAAAATTCAATTTAATAACATTTTGAGAGAAATGCAGCTTGGACCTTTTTGATTGTATAGATGTCTTCGTATAAATTCCAAGTTAGTAATTACATGCACTAAGGCTAAACTGGAAGGGTTGGTACTGCCTTCTAGAATTGTGTTTGTAAGTGCTTGTTGCAGCACTGGAGAAATGAGAAAAAAGAACCCAACAACAACATCATGACTTTGTTTGTGTTAGGATTTGATGAAGGATTTAGAAGAATTTCTGAAAAATCAAGAAAAGGAAGATACCGTTTGTCGTGATGTAGTGGATCCACCTTGTAAGAGAATCAGACTTGAACACACTGAAGAAGGGCCTGATGATGTGAACCACAATGGAGCACTCCAGCAGACTCCTTTAGTTAATGAGGAAAATACTGCAGTGGAGAACTCTGCTGTGAAGGTTTGCAATGTGTGTTTGGGAATTCTTCAGGAGTTCTGCGAGGCTGACTTTGTTAAGATGGTAAATAAACAGTATTTAACCTCTATGCATATCTTTATTGGAGCTTGTGTGTGGTGTGTTCTACAGTATAGAGCTGGTGATTAAAAATACCATGCAGTTAAACAACTGAAAAATAATCAGAGCACAAACTGGAACATTTACCTGCTTCGAATATTTGAAGTGTAGATGGCGCCGTTCAACTATGTTCTGCTTCCTGGCGGTGTTTGCATCCCTTCTGTGCAGCTGGGAAATAAAATCTATCTGTGTGACCGTATTTTACCCAGGCCTTGACATAATGTAACTTTTTTTTAAAAATAGCAGTGCAGGTGCAATGGAATGACTGCTAGGAGCATATTTTCCTAAGAAAAGGGCTTACAGATAATGTAGTTACATTAATTTAGGAGATAACCTGAGGTTCAGCTGCTTAGACAAGGGAAAATGAGGAGGCATCAACTGCTATTCAGTTTAACTACATGTTCCTAGTATAGCAGGACTCTGTCTTTAGAATGTACTACTATTTAGAAAGCCACAGAGGAATAAAATTGTTTGGGGATACAACAGATTGTAGATAAGGGAGAAAATATGAGTTGGGAGAGAATATATGCATAGTGACTGTTGGAGACCTCACCTCTAAGCAATAAAATGGCTTATGTGACAAACTGACATATCAGCTAGAAAAATCACACTTGCATTTGAGATGTTTAAAAAAGTTTAACTAGAAAATAATTCAGTTAATAGCATGAATAAATCTAAAACTGAGATTAAACAGAAAGCATAGTGTGTATCTTCTGTTGTTGCAGTACATGTTTCTTTCTTGTTTCTGTTGGCAGAGTATATATACTTCTAAGACTTGTTCTAATACTAAAAAGTATACTTCTAAGACTTGTTTCAGAGTTACTTTCTTACGTAGCAATGGAAAGTTTGACAGCATTTGTTAAGGCATCACAAAACCTGATTATTTTTTAAGGAAATTTCCTTATCTGAGATGATGATTTAACTTTGAAAACTCAGAATTCAACTTTAACGTTCACTAAAATCACTGACATTTTGGACAACTCCTCCATGTGTGTTTAAGCTTACTTCCAGTAGGGACATCTAGCCGTCAGCTCTTGATAGCTTACTTCAAAATGTTTCATTTGTGTTTGGGTTCTCATGTTATTTCCAGTGACAAACATGATTTTTTTACCTTGCGGAGTGACTATGAATTAATACTGAGGATACCTGTTTATTTCTGTATAATCCCAAGACCTTAAACATTTTTATTGTAGAATTGTATCAGTTCCATGAAGAAAAACATTTTGAGTAGGCTGTTCTTGTGTTTGGTCACTGTGGTGTAAGGTGTTACACCAAGATTTTCTAGACAGTTGGTCTTAGACTTAAAATAGTGAGTTAGGTTGTTTCATAACACCACAGCAATAAGGATACAGTTTAGTAATATCTTCTTCTATTCTGCTGCAGCAGGAGGGTTGGACTCAATGATCTTCAGAGGTCCTTTCCAGCCCGTCTGATTCTATGATTCTTTTTTTGAACTAAACAAAAAAGGTGACATTTCAATAAGTTGTTAGGGATTACTCTGGTTTGTATGTTCAGTATCTATCTGAATCTGTATTAACGTGGATTTACAGTGATTACACTAGAATAAAGAATATCCTAAAAGATTATCAACTCCGTTTCACTGATGTGGTTTAATACTAAAATACTTCTCTTGCAGGTGTGCCAAAAGGTTAATTCTGCTGACTACCAGTTCACTAGTTTTGTATTTTCTGTCTCTCTACCCCCACAGCTGTCTGTCAGGGAGGTAAGTGTTTACAGATACATCTCCATAACATAAATGCGTATTAAATAAAGTAACTGTGAAATGTACAAGCTGGAGCTGTTTTGATTTTTAATTGCTATTGTTTAAAAAAAACAAAACCACATGCTGGAAGTGAAGTCTGCTCTCCCTTTTTGGTGAGTAGTATTTTAATTAATAAAGTATCCAAGTCACCTCAGTTTTCAGTTAGCCCAAGAGTTACTTTACATCTGAAAATCTAAAAGGAGTTTCTTTAAACCCTTGGTGTATTGTTCCCTTTAGTACAGATGCCAGCTCTGCTTTGTGGGTCTTCTTAGAGAAGGAACTGCACAGCTGGTGCCTTTCCTGAAATAAATTATAATTGGTAGTGCAGAATACAAATGAAGGAATTTGAAGATGAACTCTGTGACTGTTCAGCATTTTAAATTATGTCAAAATGCACATTTTAATAGTCACCTGTCTTGGGCATTGTTGAAAGTCTATTGTTCTGAAACTACTGTTTATAGCACTTGTAGAACTACTGATTTTTATGGCAATTTTAAGCAAACTTTAGTTGTTTATGTTTCAGTCATTCTTTTACAGAAGACAGTGATAACATGGAAAGGTGTATAACCCTAGGAAATTATTTTTTTTTTAATTGAGGGAGAAAGCTAAGCATAGTATATCTTGATCAATAAGATGCCAATTTTTGCTTAGTTGTGAGCTGTTGTATCGTGTTCCCTTGCTTTCCAATAAAAAGTGCTGCAAAAATAGTATTTTAAAGGGCAAGATGTAAATCTTTGGTAGATGCCTGCTGTGGTAAGATGTAGAAGTGTCAGTGAATGTGGCAGAAAGAAGTATAGGTCTTCCTGGTTTTATATGTAAACCTGTGGTGAGGTCTGTTCTTATCCCTCACAGTTTGATTGTTAAATAATTTACTACACTTTTAGTGTTGATTTATACTGTTAGTTCTGGCATCTCAGTCAAAATGCCGGTGCAATAGCTGTGTTGGACTAACATACATTTTACTTCTAAGTCTTCTGGAACATAAGATTCTCTGCTTCCCATCTGAAATTAAGCATAGTTGGTGTGTTTACTTCAGCTGCCACTGTCTGGTAAAGTAATGCCAGAATGAATCACTTTGTGCTTTCTGGCTGGATGAACTGCCTTTATTCCCATTTGATTTTATGATCAAC